TTGGGCGTGCAAATGAGACGTTGCGCGTGATGCAAATCAGCGGAACTTCGAGCGTCGTTTAGGATGCCTTGGCCTGCGCTGGCCTCGCTACACATGAACCAAAGCGATCGGCCCTCTGCACTCAGGCCAAACCCGTACTTGGACCTCCTCTCCGGAACGGATCCCATAGCCCTAATTGCTCGCAAGATCTCCATTTCCGCACCTCTCCCTACGCTCGCAGATACCCCGTGGCGCCGAGAGTTTTTGGCCTTGACGTCCTCGTTGTGAGCCTCGACTCAATCTTCCCGCACTCGCTTACTCGCTCCCTTATTTGGCTCCCGCACTTCAAAAAAAAATAAAGGGGCTTACGAATCGAGGATTGGCGCGACGAGCACATGGTCCTGACTCGACCCGACACGGGGCACAGCCGTGGATGAAGTGAACCAAGCCTTTTGAGAGCAAGCAGATCCTTGGTGGCGCCTTCTCTGCAGGCAGGGTTCTTTGGCTGGCGAAGGCTTCGCTACTCACCGCAAGGTTGAGTACAGCGGCACGTAGATGGCGTGCTCCTGCGATGGCATCGAGCAGTCTCTGTTCTGCAGCTGCTCGAGCGTCGTACGTGTCGAGAGTCGGATATGAGTTGTGCGTTCCGGAGCCCCAGATTCCGGTGCTTGCGAGCTGAACCCGGAAGCTTGTGGCTTGCGGGGGATGCGGCTCAATCTTGTTAGGACATGGCGACGAGGTGCCCGGCCCCCAGGGAACAGGTCATCGATCACAGGGATCAAAATCCCTTCAACAAGGTCCGGCTTCCAAGGATGAGGTCATCGATCACAAGGACCAAAACCCATTCAACAAAGTCCGCTCCAACCTGCGCGTGATCTCCTACGCTCGCGACTCGATGAATCGCAGCCAGGCTTCGGCTCTGCGGATACCGAGGGTCGATTGCCGCAGAGGGATCAAGACTCCTCATCAACGTCCGCTCTAATCTGCGCACGATCTCGTATGCGCACAACTCGATGAACCAGGGTGGATCGCCGCCCCACGCGGACATTTTGCCGTCCGGAGACCCGAGTGCGGCGTCGTGTCGAAGCGAGAGGCTTTCGAGAGCACGTCAGGCTGGAGCGTACTGGCGCTCACTGACGGTGCGACCATGGATACGAGTTTGAGACCGTCCTCGTCTGGGGCCCGGTGCAATACGTCGACCCCTCGTCAAGCAGCATCCGAGAGCGTTAGCGCGTCGAGCTCGTCGCCGCATGTCGAGCCGATGGCGGCTGTCAAACGCTCGAGTCCGATGCCTCCCTTGCCTCGCGCCGCAGAACGTGCCGCGTTCCCTCCGAGCGGAGTGTCCGGGAGAGGCGTCAACATGCGTGTCTCAGTCAGAACCGCCACAACAAGCGGCCCTTCGCACATGCTTTAGATTCCGTGAGAGTGTTCTGTAATAGCCTGTGCAGAAACTACACACCACGAGACCGCTTCGAATGTGATGCTTTCGGACGATGGCAATGCGCAACTAGAGCTTGCTTCGCAGCCATCCGAGCATGCCGCTGCCCTTCTTCTCATTTGGCAGCACCGATCGTTCGACCCACTCCTTGAAGTGCTGCACCACGACGCCGGGGAGCTCGTTCTGGACCCAGTGACCACTTCCTGCCACCTCGATAATTTCGGTCTGGGGTACGTGTTTGAGCATGGTCTTGCCCATGGCGGGTGGAACGGCTACGTCGTCCTTGGGCGAGATGAGCAGCGCGGGGAGCGATTCGGGCAGCGTCTTGGATGTGAGCGCACGGTCTTCTTGCCAGTTGACCTCGCGCGTGCGGTACCAGCTGAGCGGACCCTCCATCCCGCGGCTGCGGAAGATGCGCTCGTAGTGCGCAAGCTGCTCACCATCCAGAATCATGCGGCCGAGATACTTGAGCGGGATGTCCGAGAACTCGGGCATGGTGATCAGCTTTTCCAGCTTGCCCAGCAGATGCCAGTCCCGGATCTCTTCGTCGTTCTCGGAGTCGGCGCTAAACAGACCGGGGATCATGTAGATGATGGCCAAGAAGCGCTCCAGCTGCAACATCAAGGTATACACATGAATGGCGTTCGTCAGTGCGCTGCGGTCAGATGGAAGCGAAGTTCGCGGCTACTCACGTGCTGCTCGATGATCTTGGTGCTCCTCTCTTCGGAAAAGAACTTTTGGTATCCAAAGTTGGGCACGTTTTTCACCACCATGTCGATGGACAGATACTTGGATGTAGGTGCTTGGAAGGGCACGCAGAGACCGGCCACGCCCATGACACGCTCGGGGTACCACTGAGCGAATCTCCAACCGAGCCACGAGCCCCAGTCGTGGCACAGGACGATGACGCGACCATTGCGGCCGTCCGAGGTGAGGCTCTCTGCGCCGTATTCGGAGCCCTGAGCGGCACGTGCGTGATCGAGCAGGCCGTTGAGGTCGATCGAGATGGCGCGGCCTCCGTACTCTGCGAGGCGCGATTCGGTGCCCGGCGCGGTGGATGCGGCCGAGGTGGGCGGCGACGAGGTCAGACCGTATCCGAGCAGGTCCGGGATGATGAGTCGGAAGCCGGCGAGTTTCAGCGGTGCAACGACGTTCCTCCAGCCGTAGGAAAAGTCGGGGAAGCCGTGCAGCAGCAGCAACGTTGCTCGCTCAGGGATCCCGGCAGGCGGGCGGTGGTCGAGGTAGTGGTACCTTCGCTGCGTCGGCGTCGCATCCGGCCGCGACGGCGGCGTGGTCATTGGCGTGGTGTAGAATCGAGAGGCTGTTGCGTCGAGCATTGTTGGCGATATGATCGATGCAAGGAGGAGGACGATGGTGGTGAAGCTGCGGAAGGACGTGCGTGTCGCCAAAGACGCCGCCCGGCAATGGAGTACAAAATTGCGGGGGCAACTGAGCCGGACGCCGGCTACCAAATGTCGCCGTCAGCGCGCACGGATGCTCGTGCTCTGAAAAGGTCTAACATGGAAGCAGAAATCTTAGGATCTAACACTCGGGTTCCAAAATGTCGGGTGCAAGCTTCGCCCAGCCGTCCCCACACTGCACGACCGGTTCTCCTACCGAGTCTGCCATTCGTCAGACTGAGTGTGGGGAAGCAGAGGTGGGGCTGTGTGGAAGAGGCCAGTGCAGATTGGACAGCTGGTCTTGGCACGGCCCAGCGCAGAGACGGCGTTACGAGAAGGTTTGTCTTGGCAGGAACGCGCCAGGCCGGGGGAGCAGTGTTTGATGCGCGGCTGCATGGTGCCACGCGACCTTTGCTTGGGATCAGCTGCCAAGGGCCACTGCCAAGCTTCATGCAATCCGCCGCAACGGGCTGCAGCAACCAAGCTGTCACCATTCACTCCCTCGAGACGAGATGCCGTTCAGCGTCGGTCGCCACCACAGTGCTTACTGCTATAGCGAGTCGCACCCGGCCTGTGAATCGACTTCCAACTGATGCAATTGGTGGCCGAGAGAGGGAGAGAGAGGGCTGGTCTGGATCAGTGTTGCTTCGCATCGCCTTATCAGGACCTGCCAGCGAACCACGCTCGAGCGAGGCTCTGAACATCGATCCTGAAGACAATGCAATGGCTTTCACTCGCTCGCTCGAGTCGATACAGAAGCAGCTCAAGTGGCCAAGGGGTGACGGCAGGCGGGGGCGGCGGCTGTCTTTCGCGTCCCGACCATCTCCGACGATTACGCGGATTGTCGGCTGGCGGAGCACAGGTCGGCAGGACGGCAGGGTCAGGCTGGGCTGGCTGACTCGAGGAGTCGAGGCGATGTGGAAATTGACTGCCATGCGGATGGATCGCCACACCGAAATGCCGGCCAGATAGGCCCATCTGAGATCGAAAAGCGAGCCAGGCACCAACGCTTGCCGCCCATTACAGCCTCTTCCGATGCCATTCGGCCTACGCCAATTACGGCTCCATCGTCGAGCGGATACTCGAGCATCTCACGGCCAAGAGGGTTGGCTTGGCAGCCCGTCAAGCCGTCGACGCGGAGCTCTGCTTTGGCGTAGCTGAGCTGACTATCTCAGCCAGGCGAGCCAGGCGAGACAGGCTGACCCGCCGCGTTTCACGAGTTCGGCTCGGCCGCGCGCGCAGAGGCTGTGGCATCGGAGCGGCCGAGGCGGCTCAATGAATTTTCTTCCGCTTGAGCTTGCCGTGGTGGCGCTGGACTTGCGCAAATAGTCGGGGGTCGAGACCTGGCCTGGCTCTCCCTCTCTCTCTCGCCGTGGCAACAAGGCGTGTCTTGGACCGGGTGCATCTCGTCATTCATGCATACGGCCTGCAGCCCAACGGCGGGACGGGTGGGCGAAAATGCAGAGGCTCACAGCCGCTTCCCGTGCTTCTGCAGTGCACCTGCGTCAGCGTCTGGCACTATCTGCCGCTTGTCTGTTCGCCCGCCCGCTTCGGCTGCCACGCCCAGTTACAGTGATTGGCAATGGCCACAGAGTGTCGCCTTGGCATCCGTTCCTGCTGCGTCGTCGGGGCGACTCCGACTGGAGCGTGAACAGCAACACTCCCAGACACGCACTCTGAGTCAAAGCGTATCTAACGGACCTCCGCAGCGCATCGAGGGTCGGAGCATCTTTCAACTCGCTTGCCCTTGCCCAGATTGGACGCTTGCTTTTGCTTAGCCTCATCCTCCTGGCTTTCCCACTCAACCATCATCTCCTCGTCAACAGTCCTCGTCGCCGACCTTCGACACTCGACATCCTCGATACCAGGCACACGGCACACGGCCCCGTCGTATCGCTCCCATAACTCTCGCTCACCTGAATCCTTCGCGGCTACAACCTCCCGACCGCCATTTTCTACCTCGTTGCTCGAGCAACGATCCGACGACGTCTTGCGAGATGCACGCCACAGAGAAGAACCGCATCTCCACCTGCTCCACAGACAACGGCTCCGTGGACGCACACGGCGGTGCCAGCCTCGCGCCCGTGCTCTCCAACCAATCGGCCAGCTCCGTCGACGCCAAGAAGGCAGAGTGCGGCTCGCCCGTCTCGATCTCGGTCAGGGACGCTGCTGACGCTCAATCGCCAGTCACTTCAGCACCGCATACCCGCAGCTCTTCACACGCCTCGGCAGCAGCTTCACCATCGCGTTCGGACAACATGCCAGCCTCGGCCGCGGTGCACCTCAGCACGCTGCTCGTCACGGGCCAGCGCAAGACGTGGAAGTTTGGCCCCAACGAGACCGTCGAAGCGGTGCGAAACCACATCTGGAACCACTGGCCCGAGTCGTGGCCGCAGCCCAAGCCCGAGTCGTCGGCCTACTTGAGGCTGCTCCACCTCGGCCACATCCTCGACTCGCCCGAACTCACGCTGGCATCGCGAGGCTGCAAAGCCGGCACAACCACCGTCGTTCACATTATCATTCGATCGCTCCCACCACCGGAGCCCACCAAAGTGGAGCAGGGTAAGTTTGATCCCACATGCTCGACCCAAGGCCGTGGTACACGTCGTTCTGACCCTCTTCCTATGCTCACCAACTGTATGCCATCAGAATCGCCCGTCAAGACCACGGCAGCTGAGCCAGGACAGGCACGTCGAGGCACCCGCCAGCAGGAAGACACACCCGGCTGCAGCTGCGTCATCTGCTAGTCCGATGCATCTTCGCTCTTGATCTCTCCTTAATTCGTTCCGACCGCACCACTCTCCGTCTCTCTGCATTCGACATTGGCTCATCCGCATCGCACGTGGTTTCTCTTCCTAATCGGCTCGCTGCAACACCGCTTCACGTCGTCACGATTGCAAAGGTCCAAGCTGGCATCCGCCTCCTTCCCGCCGTCTTTCCGTTTCTCTTTTTCTTTTGCATGGTTCGTCTCGTCGTCTTGTATCACTATCTCTGATTGTCTCTCCGTGTACTTTGTACCAGGCTCAATGCATTTGCATGTTCTGCCGTTTCCGCTCTCTGTGAATGCATACCCGCTGTGAAAGTGGCTCTGCGGTTCGAGCGTGTGGCTTGCAGGTAGGCGCTACAAGTAAAGTGTTAGACCGCATGTGCGGGTGTTGGAGGAGGAATCCCGCAATCCGAGAGCCGAAAGAGCGGTGGAGGCAAAAGTGGAAAATTTCGCGACTGGCGGGTGCGGGAAGGGAAAAAGCCAACAACTCGAAGTCTTCTCGCCAAGGCTGCCTCCTATACTCTGACCATAAACTCGACCTGGACTAGTTTTGCGACGATGGCAGGACAGAAGCGTACACGTAGCAACGAATCTGGAGGGCCGAGCAAGCGCGGTGGTGGCTCTGCCACGGTGTACCGCAAGTCGGCCAAGAAGCAGCGATCGGATTCGCAGGACTCGCCCAAGCCGGTCAAGAAGGTGGTACCGCAGCGCACACGCCCCAAGGATCAGCCCAAGCCCAAGACGAAGCACGAGTTCATCCAGGCCAAGAAGGCGGCAGCAGCCAAGGAGAAGTCAGAAGCGGATGCGGCGCGTCGTGCCGAAGAGGCGGCGGAGAAGAAGCTGCGCGCCAAGCAGAAGCCCACCAAGGGCAAGACTTCCAACGGCGCCTCGCAACCTGCAAGCATCCTGATCAAGCCGTCGCAGCCTACATCTACGTTCAAGATCGTGGCGGGATCGTACGAGCGTCTGCTGTACGGTCTGGAGGCGACAGTGGGGCCTGCTGATGCATCTTCGTCTGCATCGGCAGCTGCGGCGTTCAACGTATCGCTCAAGCCGATCTTCACGTTCCCGGCGCACATTTCTTCGATTCGAACCGTGGCTACTGCGGGAGCGGAGTCCAAGTGGTTGGCGACGGGGGGTACGGATGAGGTGGTCAAGGTGTGGGATCTGCGCAAGCAGCGCGAAGTGGGACAGCTCACGGGACACGAGGGAACGATCACGTCGCTGGTGTTTGCTTCGCGCACCTATCTGCTCACGACGAGTGCCGACTCGAATATCAACCTGTACCGCACGCGCGACTGGGCGCTGCTGCGTACGCTTAAGGGCCACATTGGACGCATCAACAGCGCGGCACCGCATCCGACGGGACGACTGGCGCTGAGCGTGGGCTCGGACCGTACAATTCGAATGTGGGACCTCATGCGTGGACAGGCAGCCGCATCGACGCGCATCGGCATCGAGGCCGACGTGGTAAGATGGGACACAACCGGCGCCAGATTCGCAGTGCTCGCCTACCGCCAAGCCATGATCTTTGGCACGGACATGACCAAGATCGCTGAACTCGAGGAGACGCGTCGCATCGGCGATCTGTGCTTCTTGCGTGTTAAGGATCGAGAGGCAAAGGAGCACGAGCTCTTGCTGGCTGGACTCGAGGATGGCATTGTCAAGGTGTTCGATCTGGACGCCAAGGTGGAGCAGGCTGCCAAGGAGGCCAAGGCTGCCAAGGAGGCCGAGAGCGATGCCGAGGATAGTGATGACGAGGAGGAGGAGGAGGAGTTGGCGCCACTGGTGGAGGTGGGACGACTGGTTGGGCACAAGAACCGCGTTCGCTCGATTGCCGTTCTTCCGGTCAAGGTGAGCGAGGGCGCGCGCTCGTATGTTGCGGTGACGATCTCATCGGACGGCTTCATTCGCACATTCGACCTCAGCTCGATCGTCAACAAGCTCAGTGGCGACACACGACCATTGGGTGCGTATGCGGCCGAGGTGGTGTCGGTGGAGAGTGTGGCCGAGTACGACACCAAGGGCACTCGTCTGACGTGCCTGACCGCTGTCGGTGTTGCGGGCGGTGCGAGCGCGGACGCCGAGGAAGACGAGGCGGAGGACGAGGTGATCGGTAGCGACGATGACGACGCCGAGGAGAGCGACGAGGTGGACGAGCAGGCCGAGGACGACGAGCTCAAGGCGCTCGAACGTGCGCTCAAGGATGCGCAGGCCCAGGGACTCGATCTGGAGGACCTCGAGGCGTTGCTCGATGGGGAGGATGACGATGACGACGAGGACGACGACGAAGATGTCGATGAAGATGTCAGCATCGACGACGACGACGACGAGGCGGAAGGTGAGGACGAGGACGAGGACGAAGGAGAGCTCGAGTAGTTCAACCAGCCACACTCAATACCATTGTTTGGACTCTTGTGCCCGATTTGTTCGGCGATGTGATGGCGAGGTGAGATTCTTCCGATCTGTTGCGACAGTGGACGTGCAGCGGCCGGGTTAAATTTGACTTCTTTGGCAATGTATCTGGCAGGGTTGCGCGAGATTCTCGGGGCTCACCACGCCAATCATGATCGGCGACGGGCCGAAGCGAGGCCAACCTTACGGTACCGCCCCGAATTCGCACATCGCTGCTGTTGGAGGGCGCAAACTCGAGCCGAAATGCGGGCAGCGAAATAGGGGTCACAAAATATAATACACAGCACAGCACAGCAAAGCAAAAAAGACCAAGACGCTTGGATGCATGCACGGCTGCACGGCTGCATGGACGCATGCGCCTCGGATCCTCGATCTTGGTGGTGAGCGATTTGCCTGCAACTACCGAACGGCGTGGAGGGTGCGTTGTTGGTAGCAATAGCAACGGCCAAGAGAGCGTCGGCATGCAAGTCAGTGAGTGTCGGCGCCTGAATCCCACTCTGCTGCCTTGAACGAGGGGTGCAGTAACTAACTTAGCGCGTGCGTTGGGATGGCCAAGCACGCGTGTGTTGCGATAGTGTGTTGCGAGTTGGGAGCTGCACCCTTGTTTTGGCTCGATGCGCGGATCTTCCTGAAACCCCGTCTGCCTCGAAAAACAGACTGGCGCCGAGCCGAAAGGAAAAAGCAACCGAAAAAGCTTCCAAACGGAAACATCCTCACGCGGCACAAATCCACAGCAGCGAAGGTCGTCGCTTTCGAATGCATGCACGAGGCAGCTGCATGGGTTGCATGCTGCGATGCTGCGCTGCTGAGCTGTCGTTTTTTTTGTGGTTTGTACCGCCCACCTTTGCTTTCCTCTGGATGGAGGGCTATCGACTCGTGCCTGGCGAGGCGAGCCTTGGAGGGCGGCTGCAAATTCGAAGGGGCAGCAGCTGCTCATGCGTGCATCAGCGTCCGTGAGCGGAGCGCTGCAGATGATCGCCACGAAAGCACAGTCAGACACACACACAGGCAGGCGCTCACCCCCCCGCCTCAGGGTGCATGCGAAGCCCTGAGCCGCTCTCAGCCTGTGCTCGCGGCCCCTTGCGTCGTCGTCGTCGTCCTTCCCTCCGAGATTGGCTGTCCGCCCCACCACCACCACCACCACCACCACCACCA